CGGGGGGGGTTCCCCCTTTCTAAAAAAAAAAAAAACCCAACGGCCCCCCCAACCGGGGGGGGGTGGGCCTCTTGTGGGCGGGGGCTCTCCCAAAAAAAACCTTTGCAAACCAAAAAAAAAATTCCTTTTTTAAACATAAAAAAGGGTTTCCCAAAAAAGGTTTGGCCCCCTAGCCCCCCCCCCCCCCCCCCCCCTCCTCCTCGGCAGAAGCCAACAGCGGCAGACGTACCGCAAGCCCACCGGACCGGAGCACCAGCAGTTCGGCACACGGCATCGTGGGATCTATTCAACCCTTCGACGGAGGACTTCGTCCTGCTTGACACACCGTGCTTCTGATGACAACGGTCTCGTCATGAGTGCTGCTGCGTCGTCGTCGAGATGGAAGAGCTACAGGAACCTGTTCTGGGGAAATATCCCTCCGCCCCCAAATTGCGCATGTACGCACCAAGGAACCGGACCAATAGTTCACGAATGGGTTCCGGTACGCTCGGGCGCTGCGAGCTGTGCCTTTGTAGTCCTTGCTACGCAGAGTGCTGCCATGCTGCCTGCTGCACGCATACGGTTGGGTTGGACTTTCATCAATCGAGTGACAAGCAAGGATGACCTCAAGTCAGACGTGATGTATTTTGCGGCGGAGCTGGTTGCTTGCTTCTAGAGTGTATGCACTACAGGAGTCGCGCTCCATGAGGAGAGGTTGTCATGTGTGCGCCGCGGTCATCTCTTTTTTTTGGCAGGTCTCTTTCTTGTCTCCGCGCTATAGAATGTTTTTTTTTATTTTGTTCGCAGTCATGCTTCTTATTTTTAATATGTGCCCTCGGGAGCCCCGCATCTTCTCCGGAAGAACCAATTGCTCTGCAGAACCTACCGGCAGTCGTTGTCATGGAGCGGTTGATTTGTTCTCACGTGAGGTTTGTTCGGATTTTCATATATTGTCACAATTTCGAAAAAAAATTCGCTGGTGACGGTCACCCAAATGGTACTTCCGAGGTGCATTGTGTTTTGGAGGAACAAAGAAATCCACTACTATTTAGTTGCTCCATAACAATTGTGCGTGGGGGCGGGGTGAGGGGGTCCTGTCCCTCGCATTTGTTACGAAATATGTTTTGAGGCTTCTTTGTTTATCGTTTTTCTTAAGTGTGCAATATGCGTTTTTCAAGTCTCGCTGTTCGCATAGAAGTAGCTTGACGGTTGGGCTAGAGTACCGGTAGTTTCTGCCGGCTGGGCAATGTAAGTGTTTCGTGTTTTTGGTGATGGTTGTTTCTCAATTAGGTGGGCGCTGAGCTTGTATTCGGTGTTGAGCTTCATGTGTCTAGCAGAGGGGTTGACACGTGGCGCCGACGTACTGTAGCTTCTTGTGCGCCCCGTAGCGCAACAACAGAAGTCGCGCAATCAGTTTATGTCGTATTGTTTACGGATCACGCCGGAGGATAGAACGCGATTCGAGGGAATGGGGTTTTGCATCATCTCTGTGTGATGAATTTTAGTTTGTGTTCGAGAATACCAAGTAAATACACTTTGAGGGAAGGACCTACATGTGGTGAGTTTTTTCGCGAGGAAGCATAACGGCATGCATGCGCCGCAACTGAATTCTGCCGCGTTACACGCGACAGCTCTTCAACTAGAGCGATGACAAACCACACGGTAGGGGATCTTAAGGGCAACGAAGGATGAATGGGAACGCGGGATTATTTATTATTTTTCAAGCTCACCGCTTGTTGTTGGACCAGTACGGATATCAGACTGAGCGGAGACCGCAGCGGTTTTTAATGTTTAGACAACGACAATAACAACGGCAACCGCTTGCATGCCACATGCATATGTACAAGCGCGGTTGGGATTACCTGAACATTTGGTCGTATCGATCCGTCCCGCGTCGTGTTTTCTTTTTCGGGAGGTCTGATGCTGCATAACTAATCAAGTTTGCGATCGTACGTTTATTTGGCCCTCCTTTGCCAATCGTGGTCCTCAAAGACACGCCACGAGGTCGAAGGCAATTTCTTCGTTCGCCATGTAGACGGCCTGGCTATATAGAACCTTATAACCATGCAAATCTCCGAGAATGATCTCGGCAGAGATGGATGCGAGGCACCGTGCTGTGCACGGACACCTTCCTGTCGATCGCACGGGAAGGGCGGGCAACATTGTCCATGGGCGTGAGAGATATATTTCCGACGTGGACACTGCTGTGGTCCAGCGTCCTCCGCGTGGGATAACCACGAAGACATGGAACTTCACCGTACAGTTTCGTATTGAACGGATCATTTTCCACCAACAGAGCAACCTCTGCACACCAGTCAAACATGCATTGGGCTAACCCACTCAAAAACACATACCCCCGTTCGCTCTCTCCCTAGGCATTTGAGTGAAAATTGCCACGAAGAGAGGTGAGTTGGTCCAAGGCCAGCCACCATCGACCGATTTCATCTCACATGCAGGGCTGCCGTTGACTACGATTCCCTCGAGCCACGGTTGCTTTATTTTTCTCACTTTTTTTTTTTTTTTCGGTGTCGTGATCTCCCGTTCGTGACCTCACTTTGCCAACATCCAGCCCTCAGGTTCACAAGGAGCACCCTAACCATTCTATTTTTCGTCACCTAACATAGTGTCGCGAGACACACACATATCTCAAATCGTTCCTACCTTCTTTCTT